CTTGACTGGAATCGAAACTGGGACCTTTCAGTCCGCAGGCCGATGCTCTATCCACTGAGCCAAACTGGTTAGGGCTATATTTTATTGATTTTTTACAGAGAGGAAGGGAGAGGGATAGAGAGTCAGAAACATTGATAAGAGAGAAACATCGATCAGCTGCCTCCTGCACACTCCCCACTGGGTATGTGCCCGCAACCAAGGTACATGCCCTTGACCGGAATCGAACCTGGGACCCTTGAGTCTGCAGGCCGATGCTCTATCCACTGAACCAAACCTTAGGGCTTATTCTTGTATTATTATATATTAATTATTGTATTATTTTCCATACAAACAACCGTAAACCTACTTTTGTCCCACGTTGTACTTCAATTAATAATGAAGTAAACTGAATAGTTATTTCTCTTTAAATAAGACAGTAAGTAATACATCCCTCGTGTGATTTTTCTTTCCTTTTATAAAATGTTACAATGAAATAGTGGCAGTGTAAGGGAAATGGTTAGGTCAGGGGTCCTCAAACTTTTTAAACAGGGGGCCAGTTCACTGTCCCTCAGACCGTTGGAGGGATGGATTATAGTTTAAAAGAAAAACTATGAACAAATTCCTATGCACACAGCGGCGGCAAAAAAACCCGGCGGGCCGGATAAATGTTTTCGGTGGGCCGCATGTGGCCCACGGGCCGTAGTTTGAGGACCCCTGGGTTAGGTATTGCAAGTGACAAAGAGTGAGGATGGTTTGAATATATACCTTTTGTAAGGCTTTGGGATTTGGGCTTTAAATTATTAAGAGGATGGCTTTGGAGCCAGGTGGTATTTATGAGCTGAATGAGCATGGGTAATTTGCTGTGAGTCTCTGTTTCCTCATCTATAAAATAGAGATAATAATTGTTCTTATCTCAAAGGGCTATTGTGAGTATCCTGTTAATTTTCAAAAATCATTTCATGCCTAGCACCCATGAGAACTCTCTGTTAGTATTGTTATAAATTTCATGATCTCACCTTTAAAATCACTTTCTCCTTTTGTTGATAATTTATGTAACTACTAGAGGCCTGGTGCACAAAATTTGTACACTGGAAGGGGGTCCCTCAGCCCGGCCTGTGCCCTCTCGCAGTCCAGGAGCCCTTGGGGGATGTCTGACTGACGGCTGAGGGGAGCAGGCCTAAGCCGTCAGGCGGACATCCTTAGCGCTGCAGCGGAGGTGGGAGAGGCTCCCGCCACTGCCACTGTGCTCGCCAGCCGTGAGCCCGGCTTCTGGCTGACAGCGCTACCCCTGTGGGAGCACATTGACCACCAGGGAGCAGCTCCTGCGTTGAGCGTCTGCCCCCTGGTGGTCATTGCACATCATAGTGACTGGTTGTTCTGCTGTTCAGTCAATTTGCATATTAGCCTTTTATTATATAGGACTTTTCTAATTCAGTCCAGCCATTTGTTACCTTTATCCTTAAGTTTTAAAGTATGTTTTCTGTTTTAATATCTGTAATAAATGGTTTCAAATGGTAGTGCCAAAGAAGAGTTGTTAAATCCTAATTGAAAGAGGATTGGAAGTTCTGATTCATGCAATCTGACAATAGAGATTAAGTTAACTGGACAGTCTTACAGAAGCTTGATGGTGGCAAGTCAGCAAATGGATTAGCTTGACCAGCTGCTCTTTTGTCCGTGAAAATAACTTGGACTTCAGTGTTGTGTTAGCAACAGATGCTCTGTTTGAGTAGAGGAAGAAAGCATAATTGCCTTGGGTATGTAAGGCATACTGTTGGATACGGAAAACCACAGTATTATCTCCTAGAAATAAACAGAGGGATTTTGTTTATATTGAGTTTCTGGGACACTTTTGTGAACAGGATGTGTTATGGATAGGTGGCTTTGTTTGATACTCAAACCTTTGATTATGTCTGTAAGTGGTTTTAAGATAAAATCCCAAAGGTTTCTTTACCTGATGAAATGTGTATATTCAAAGAAACCATTGATACAAATAAGACGTGCACCTCTTAAGAATGGCGACAGGTAGAATCTGATAGTTTGTTAAATTTTGTACAGGAGTTCATTCACATTCGTAGAGGTTGCTATTTCTGGGAAACGGTAGATGCTGTAGGAATAATAAAGGTAGAGAGGAAGGGGGAGGGATACCTGAGGAAGGATGTCACCAAAAGCAGACATTGTCAATTGTTTGCTTTTCTCCACTTTTTCTTGTGCATTATTTACTTTCTACTACTTGGAAAGGGTTAGTGACAGTCAGGTGAGGCTTGATTGTATAAGACTGGACAGTTCTTTTTCTTTTTTCAGGGAGGGTCTTGCTTTTTAAAGTAGACCTGTGAACAGGAATAAGTGAGTTTTTATACACCCCAGCTAATCACAACTGCAAGCATTCCCGTGGAATGGATCAAAGTAATCTGGGATGATATAGGAGGCATGAGGTACCCTCCTCACAGGACCATACTGACATACTCATGATCACTACATTTAAATACAGATGTTTTCATTTCTTATTGAACTTGACAGTTTAAGAAATTAGAAATATAGTGAGGCAGACCTTTAAAATTTTTTTAACATAATGCTTCTTTGCAATGCCTAGCTGAATATACAAAGAATTACTCATGCAGCAAAAACATTGAATGTTTCCCTTAGTGTTCAACCTAGGGCAGTGATGGCGAACCTTTTGAGCTCGGTGTGTCAGCATTTTGAAAAACCCTAACTTAACTCTGGTGCCGTGTCACATATAGAAATTTTTTGATATTTGCAACCATAGTAAAACAAAGATGTATATTTTTAATATTTATTTTATTTATTTAAATGCCATTTAACAAAGAAAAATCAACCAAAAAAATGAGTTCGCCTGTCACCTCTGACACGCGTGTCATAGGTTTGCCATCACTAACCTAGGGTGTACAATATTTTGAAGTTGGTGGATTTTGTCTCCATCTTTATTTTTATATGTTTTATACCCTCAGTTGGCACTTTTTCCCAGGCACAAGGTTCTGATAGCATCTGATCTCAGTTATTGATACTTGTTGATTGATAGCTAATTATATTTTTAACAAATTTATAATAAAGCATTAGCACAGCCAAGCTGTGTATTTTGTTACATTATAAATATAAGTAATACAAGTTTATTGTAGGAAAATATAGATAAATAAAAATAAGAGTCACCCATAATCCTGCCACCCAGAGATAACCTCTTTAACATTTGTATGTATTACATTGCAGTCTTTTTTATGCATGTAGAAACTTAAAAAACTATGTTCATTATATTGTTTTATAATTTGCCTTTCACTTAATATGTTATGACTCTTTTACCATATTAATATAATTTTAAAGCACTTAAATAATACAGCACATTTCATTTGTATGGATGTGTTACTTGAATTTTAATCAGGACTCTTTTGTTGTACATATATCTTCGTCCCAACCTTTTAATGTTATAAATCACATTGATATGAACATCCTTGTAGCCAAGTCTCTGATTAAACTCTTATTTACTTAAGTTAGTAGAAATAGAATTTACTTAATAAATTAGGAGAAATAGAATTGGAGTCCTGACTGATTTGGCTCAGTGGATAGAGCGTTGGCCTGCAGACTGAAGAGTCCCAGGTTCGATTCCTGTCAAGGACATGTACCTTGGTTTAGGGCACATCCCCAGTAGGGGGCGTGCAGGAGGCAGCTGATCGATGTTTCTCTCTCGTCGATGTTTCTAACTCTCTATCCCTCTCCCTTCCTCTCTAAAAAAAATCAATAAAATATATATTTTTTAAAAAAGAAATAGAATTGGAGAATCAGTGTGTATATACTTTAAAAAAACTTTTTATGTGTATTGCCAAGTTGCCCTTCAGAGTACCCCTACTTCCATTGCCACTCCACCGCCCTTAATTAGATGGTGGGGACCTCTGATTTCCTTGGCCGAATATCAGTTTCCTAAACCTGACTGGATGGCTAGCCAGTTCACAGGTCACTGTACATGGATGAGGCTTCTTCAGCCTCTGACACACTGTATTTTCTTAAATTCTAGATGGGAGAGTTCCTCCTGTTCTGCCCTGATAGCTTACAAGTGGGCCAAGGGTGGAAAGAGCGTTCCTGCCAGATTGAATGAGAATTAGATTTTTTTCCTGTGGATCACCTTAGTTGCATCTGTATACAGATAGTGTTCCAGCTTGTTTCACCGTTACAGAGGGCATGGCTTTCTGCTAGCTAGCTATTTATGATGCTCAGATTCCTGTATTCCTCAACAATATATACTTCTCATTTTTCAGCTCCTTGCATCACATCTGAGCACAGTACTCTTGTTTGTGTTGCCATAGGTATGGTCAACTGGTAAGATTCTGGTTGTCTAGCTTACCATCTGGATAGAGCTCTCTGGATTTCAACTCTTGTTACCTAATTCAAAGGAGAGGTCTGTGGTATAAAGCAGTGATTTTCAATTGGTGTGCTGCGGCAGGCACACTGGGTGCCATAAGAATTTTTAAAACATGCAACACCTGACTATTTAGTCAGTGGCATTGACCTCTTTTTCCTTAGATTGTCAAAACAAACAAAACAAAAAAACAAAACAAAACAAAAAACCCAGACAGTCAATACAACAATAGCCATCTGATGTGAATGGATAAAAATTATACTTTTTTTGGTCAGATTTTTTTTGGTGTGCTGCAGATTAGTTTATGTGTGCCTTGAGATAGAAAAGGCTGAAAATTGCTGGTGTAGGGTGATGCAAGTGGCATCGTTCCTGGTAACATGGGTATATTTTCCAGGAATTCTATATGTTGATTTCATCGATTCATTTGCTTTGGTTGTAGGAACTGTATGATTTTTTGTACAGTACCAGTGTAAGCAGTCTAGGATAGTGTAAAAGTACTAGGTGTATCGGTTAATAATGCAGATTTTGTAATCAAAACGGTAAGTTCAAGAGAAACATCAAAAGTGCTTTATTCAAAGTAATGTCCACCACTAGCTACACATTTCCCCATCTTTCAGGTAATTTGTGGATACCGTACCAATAGAACTTTTCTTGTTTTGAGGCAAACCATTCAGAGACCCAATTTTCCACTTCTTCGTATGTTTTGAAGTGCTGCTCATAAAGTGTGTGTGCCATCGATTGGAACAAGTGGTAATCTGAAGGAGCAAGGTCTGGTGAATATGGTGGGTGGGTTAATACTTCCCAGGCAAGATCTTTTAATGTGTCTTTAACAGTTTTTGAAGTGTGTGATGGTGTGTCATCATGAAGCAAAATTACTTTGCTGTGTCTTCTGGCACATTCTGGTCATTTCACGATCAAAGCATGGTTCAAATTGATTATTTGTTGTTGGTAGCAATCAGTATTAACAGTTTCACCTGGTTTTAGAAACTCATAATACACCAAACCTTCCTGATCCCACCAATCGCAGAGCATTGTCTTCTTTCTGAAGCGATTTGGCCTTGCAGTCGATGTTGATGGTTGACCTGGACCAACCCATGATTTTGTGCATTTGGGATTCTCAAAATAAATCCACTTTTCATCGCCAGTCACAATTCGATGCAAAAAAGACTTTCTTTCGTGCCTTTGAAGCAACATTTTACTGAGACTTTTTGGGTTTCCATTGCGTTCACAAGTATCTTGAGATGGAGCATGTTCACCATAAGCTTCCCGAAGTATTCAGCAGCACTTTTCTTCAAAATAAAGTAATGAATTAAAACTTCCCGCAAATGCTCTTTTTTTGGCACGAAATTCGACATTTTTAAGTGTAAAAATATCTATGATGTTAACACCTTCAGCAAATTTGACATATGAAGTTTTGAAGCTTGTTGTCAATACAACAAAATAGCATACATATCAAATCGCATGTATATCAACATATGTGTAACTCCATCTATTGAAAAAAATCCGTATTATTAACCGGTACACCTGTACAGGCTTTGGAGGCAGCTTCCTGTATTTGAATTGTAGCTGTGTGATCTAAGAACATTTCTTAACTTGTTTAACCTTCCCTTTCTTCAACCATAAAATTCAAAGACTAACATACTATTTTTCAAAAATCTGTTGTGAGGATTAAAAAAGACATTCCTTGTTCAAACCTTAGCACAGTGCTTGGCACATAAAGTGCTTAATGTATACTAACTGAAATGCCTATAATAATAGTTTGACCCTCTTAAGTGTTAGATCAATTAGTAATTAGTAATATTTGCAGTGGTTCCAGATTTGTGTATTTCAACTGTCTGAACTACTATGTGGAATTGGAATCAGAAATCTTTTCCTGGTTATTGGGGTGTGTGACCAAAGGATTGTGTCTGAGATTGCCTGTGCACACTTCTCTGGAGATATTTGTCTTATATTACTATGATCCAGCAGAATTGGTATTTGTCAAAGCATATCTTCAGATGTATATCACCTAGAATTTTTAGGTATGGCCACCTGACATCTTGCAAAATACAATTAAATTATCTAGACAAGCTTTGTGTAATGTATATTGCCTTTATCCATCTATGTTTATCACTTTGTCCATCAATGTTTGGAAGGTAATAGGAGACTTGAGATCTGAGATGAAATCTGAGACCCTTGTAGGCATCCTTTCAGATTGATAGGATCCCATGGAGCAGATGAAAGTTTTCTTTGCCTTCTTTCACCATCAGGTTTTGATAATAAGTCAGATATGAATCATAATGGGCTCATTCTATAAATACTTGTTTGGAACTTGTTTTTTCTTCTTCTTTTTAATCTTTACCTGAGGATATGTTTTTTATTGATTAGAGAGAGAGAGAGAGAGACTCCCGTTCATGCCTCGATCGGGATTGAACCTGCAACCTAGGTATGTGCCCTGACTGGGAATCAAATCCGCAACCTTTTGGTGTACAGGGCGACACTGCACCACCCAGTCAGGGCTACTAGGAAGATTCTTAAGTCCTCTGCCTTCCTTTTCTATGTCTCTCCAGTTGTGCCCACTCCTCCCCCAAGTTCAGCTTCATTCTGCTGGTCATCTTTGTATTCAAATCTTGGTACACCTGTTTCTGGGAGTTACACCAACAGGATAAACAGCTAACTCTTGATATGGGTCTTCTTTCATTTGTGCTATTAATGTATTAAAATACCACCAGTGGTGAGGATGGGAAGAAATAGTATAGGTAAGTGAAATACAGCACAAAACCCTAGGCAGCCCAGGGGATGATGATAAGGCTTACTTATCTACAGGGATTGTTGAGAGAATTAAATGAGAACTGTAGTAATTCTTTTTAATTTTTCATTACCATAATGCTTTATGAGCATTTACATAAAGTATTATCCCTTTATCAGATTATTTTATAGCCTTTTATCAATATTTGCTTATATTTTGAGGAGAATCTTTATCACACAAAATTATTAAAATATTTACACTTGTAGGTGTATACAGATACAAGGCTTGTGTGTGTGGGAAAATTATAAAGTATAAATACTTGCATTTGATTTTTATTGAGAATAGGAATACTTTGTTTGGGTCTTGCTGTTACTACCCATGGAGAGTTATTAAACAGCTATACTTGTGCTGTCCAATATAACAGTACTTGTTCCACATGCTATAAAAAAAAGTGAAATTGAAGTTAAAAAATAAGTTTAGGTTCTCAGTTGCTCTATCTACATTTCAAAAGTGCACTAGTTTCATGTGGCTAGTGACTTTCATATTGGACATCACATATAGAGGACATTTCCATCATTGCAGAACATTTTATTGGATAGTACTGAACTAGAGTGTATGAGAAAATTAAATAACCAAGTGTTTTTTTAAATAGGAAGCATTATCAAAAAGTCTGAGGTATTTGCTACTAAAATTACTTACCATATTATGCTTCTGTAGTATCTGTAAATATTACAATGAATTTTGTAACTTAAGTTGCACATGTATTACCTTTCATATTTCTAAAATATGTTTATATTTTTATAAATAAACAATGTCAAATTTCAGTGTCTCTGTTTTTATTCCTAGTATCCTGATATTGTATTAGAAATTTCCATTTGTTTTTGCAGTGTTTAAGGTTTGGTTCTATTTCTTTGCCACAGCCATATAACCTAAAATAAAACAATTAATAGTGATCATCTTCATTGTGAAAGGTATGATGGTGATTAACTTGTTTATTAGGAATAAGATATTTTAGAACAGTACACGTTCATATCCCATCTTTTTAACTTTAGGTTTTTGAAAATTTTGAACAAGAAGCTTTAGATTGCACCTATTTATTATATAACTAGAGGCCAGGTTCACGGATTCATGCACAGGTGGGGTCCCTCGACCTGGCCTGCAGGGATTGGGATGAAACCAGCTCTCCGACATCCCCCAAGGGGTCCCAGATTGCGAGAGGATGCAGGCCAGGCTGAGGGACCCCACTGGTGCAGGGTGTACAAAAGCTCCGGGCTTCTAGTATGCATATAAGATCTTTGGTTAATCTCTTCCTGCCCTCCCTCCACCCCCTTTCCCTCTGAGATTCATCAGTTTCCATGCCTGTGCATTGAGGGTCTGCCCCCTGGTGGTCTGTGTGAATCATAGCTACCAGTCGAACAGTCACTTAGGCTTTTATATATGTAAGAGTATATATATAGATATACTCTTACATAAAGGGTTTATTTAGAGAATTGTTGTTAATGAAGGTTATAATTCTCTTTTATTAAAACATCATGATGTTTCTTTTTTTATTCTAGGAAGCTTTACAAAGGATCATTTCAACTCTGGCAAATAAAAATGATGAAATTCAGAACTTTATTGATACACTAAATCAAACACTAAAAGGAGTTCAGGTATGAATTTCTTTTAAAAGTTTGTGTCAATATGTTGTAATGAATGATTGTTGGATCAAATCAGAAGTATAAAAACACCCTATCAACTCTAGATTATAAACTAGTGGAGATGAGAGCAGGGTTTTTAATCATCAGATAAAAATATTTTCTTTGCTATTCTTGCATTCTCCATGGAATGATCACGTAGTAAGGGAAAAAGAAAACTCTGGAATTATAGTTCTAGGAATATTGTAGTGTTCATTTTCCATTTTATTTGTGTCTTTTCTGTTTCTAACTAAGAGCAATTGTATCTTTCAAAAGTACTGAGAAGTTAAACATTCTTTTACAGTAAATAATGGAAGGAAAATGTAGATAGAAAAAGGTCTCCTCATAAAACCAGATGAATGTAAAACATAAAAGTAAAAGGTAAAGTGCCCAATGAAGAGGGAGAGGAATACTTAAGGAAATGGTCCCAGATTTGGGGAGATAATCTGTACTGTAAATAATCAAATAAGCTGGTGATGCCTTCCATGAATGTGTCTTAACTAATTTAAAGGACTTATTTTTGTAGACAGTGAATCCTTTTCTATGGTTTTTGTTTGTTTTAACCTAGGTAATTGTCTGGTCCTTGGCCTGTTAGGCCTTATAGTCATTGTATTTCACTTACTGAGTTTACTGTCATTGAAGTCAGTTGACTTCACCACTTTAGCAGTCTTCCCCAAACTATTTTAATGGAAAATTTGGTGAATTCACAAATCCACTTTTTTATAGTAAGCAAAACTGAAAGTTCTAAAACTCTTGATCTATGGGTGAGAGAATCATTACATTTAACATCTGGACAAAGAGACCAAAAGATAGAACTAACCCAAAATATTTTTCTGATTGCCAGATTAATAGAACTATACCTTGGAATCCAGAAAAAAAATAGAGGGGTAATTAAACTAGACTGGTCACTGAAGATGGGTGCACACAAGGGAGTAAGTAAGCAAGACACTATAAGAATGTGTCAGTTGGTTATTGAGGGGAAAAGAGTAGTCCTATTCCTTTTAGATGAGTAAACTGAGGTCCAGGAATTTACGTGGCTTGTCCAAGGTTGTATTATTATTGAGTGATTGATGTGGGATTTAAGTCTTTTGCCTTCTAGACTGCATATTTTTTCTTCCACAGTTTGTTTTTATCATTGTAAATAAACTAGTAAAATGATTAACACCACTTTTGGTAAGACTCTGGTGTGATGATGTCTGGTTTTTATTAACAGAAGCAAAAGTTTGGATTATGATATTACAATAGATTGTATTTATTCTCTGAGTGCCAATTTGCTTCTCTTAATTGAATGATTCATTTAAGTTGAAAAATGCCTTAAGATAATGTCTTCTGTCTCAATTTTTGCAAGTACTGTATACATATGGCTTATCTAGGGATTTCAGAGATATTTTAAATTATTTCTTGTTGAAATAATAGCATATTGCTTAATGAGGCAGTGAGAAGTCAATGGACTTGAAATGCTTTATTAATTCTGCCACTAGCAACTAGTGGCATAGCTTTGGGCAAATCACTTATGTGTCGTTTATTTCATAAAATTTAGCAGTTTGACTACAAATTCTAGTCATAGATGATTTTTGAGGTTCTTCTAGCATTAAAATCCAATGGTTGATAATCTTTTAGAATCTAGTAAGGAATTGCTTAGTCTTTAAGTTCTGTATATCTTTTATAAATACAGTATTTTAGACAGCCTGAAAGATTAAAAAATTTACACAAAATCAGCCCCACCCCTGTATTCCAAGAGTTATAGAATAAAAATCTCTGAAATGTTTTATTAAAATGCTTCACTAATGATTATGATGCACAGTAAAGGTTGAGAACTACTGACTTAGAGTCTGGCTTTGAGCCTGAAGGTCTGGATAAGTTGTCCACCTTAAAACAACCTTTCACATTGTCCTATGGAAACAGCATTATAAAAGGTGAAGAGAGTATGGGCTATTCCATAAAAGGCTGCTTAACTCATAGTACTGCTGAAATACATACTATCAGCATTAACAGCCAGCTTCTTCGATTTTTTTGTGTTTTTAAAGCGTTGTGTCAAATATTAGAATTCTGTTATTTTTATGATGTTAGGCTGAAACTCTCATAAAAATAACAGAATTCTAATATTTGACACATGCTTTAAAAATACATATGATCTTATAATATGCATCTATTGTCTCTTTTGATAAATATATCTTAGTTTTTAATGTCTGACAGCTCTTCAGTAAAATAATTTTGTTTTGCTTATTAAATAGGAAAATTCTTCTAACATACTTTCAGAGCTAGATGAAGAATTTGATAGTTTATACTCTATATTGGATGAAGTGAAAGAAAGTATGATTAATAGTATCAAGCAGGAACAAGCTCGTAAATCACAAGAGTTACAGGTGAGATCATAAAACTATTTAAATATGAATAATTTTAATCTAATGCTTCATTTATTGAAAGCAAAAATTAGTGAATTCCTGTGTATAACTGTGCTTTTATCTTGTAGAAGAATGATTCTTACCTTTTTTTGGTCATTAATATCTAATTTTTAAAAATTCATAATAAAAACCAATGTGTGATTTATCCTCTTAACCATTTTAAAATGTTCAGTTCAGTAGTGTTAACTATATTTACATAGTTGTGTAACAGATCTCTAGAACTTTTTCATGTTGCAAACCGAAACTCTATACCCTTGGAACAACTTCCCATTTGCCCCTCCTTCCACTGCCTGGCAACCACTATTGTATTTTCTGTTTTCATTATCTTGAGTACCCTAGATACCTCCTATAAGTGGAACTGTAAAGCATTTGTCCCTTTTGTGACCAGCTTATTTCACTCAGCATAATGTCCTCAAGATTTGTCCATCTTTAGCATGTGCTAGGATTTCCTTCTTTTTTATGACTGAATAATATTTCAATGTATGTATATCACACTTTTCTTTATTCATTCGTCTGTCTATGGATATTTGGGGTTCCTTCTACGTATTGCCTATTGTGAATAATGCTGTAGTGAACATGGATGTGCAAATATTTCTTAGAGATTTTGTTTTCAGTTCTTTAGGATATATACCCAGAAGTGGAATTGCTGGTTCATAGGGTAATTCTATTTTTAGTTTTTTAGGAACTTCCATACTGTTTTCCATGCTGCTATAATATTACATTCCCACTAACAGTGCAGAAGGGTTTTAATTTCTCCACATCCTTGCCAACACTTTCTACTTTCTACTTATATTGTTATTTTGAGATATAATTGACATATAATGTTATTTTAAAATGTACAACATAATGATTTGATATTTATATATTACTTAATAATCACCACAATAAATCTAAGTTGATATCCATCACCACATATAGTTACAAATTTTTTTCTTATGTTAAGAACTTTTAAGAGCTACTCTTTTAGCAATTTTCAAATATATAACACACTATTATTAACTGTAGTCACCATGCTGTACATTATATCTCCAGAACTTATTTTATAACTTGAAGTTTGTATCTTTTGACCACCTTTACCCAGTACATGTACTTTCTATTTTTTTGGTAGTGGCCATCCAAATGGATGTGAGGTGATATCTCTTTGTAGTTTTGATTTGCATTTCTCTAGTGATTAGTGATGTTGAGCATCTTTTCCATTTATATATATTTTTTTCAAGAAATATCTATTCAGATCTTTTGCACATTTTTTAAATCTGGTTATTTGTGGGGGTTTTTTGTTGAATTGTAGGAGTTCTTTATATATTCTGGATATTTATCTCTTGTCAGGTATATGACTCACATTTATTTTCTCTTATTCCACGGGTTGCCTTTCACTCTATTGATTGTTTCCTTTAATGTGGAGAAGTTTTTAAGTTTGGTACAGTCTCATTTGTCTATTTTTGCTCATGATACTAGGTACAATGTATTAAGATCACGAAAATTTGTTAAAAATATGACTAGTGATTATCTTGCTTCAGTAACTCTCTACAATATTTTGTTCAGTTATTGCTATTAAAATTGTAAGTTCATTATAACAATACTACATATTTAAGATTCTGATGGCAATCAAAAATTTTATTTTAATGATTTTTTTTCTAGAGTCAGCTTAGTCAATGTAATAATGCCCTGGAGAACTCTGAAGAACTGCTAGAATTTGCAACACGGTCATTAGATATAAAGGAGGCTGAAGAATTTTCAAAGGTACAAAAAAAAATCAACCAAAAAATCTAAACTCAGCCACTTAAAAAGGAAAGTTTTGATTTTAAAAAAATGGTATTTTCCCTTTTAACTTTGGATTTAGTCTAAAAAACATAAAGTCTAAAAGGAATATAAAGTCTAGTTTTGACTTCCTTTCTCTGAGCTGATTGGGAAACATCATCACTTGATGCAGATGAGCACTGCAACTTAGTGAGATCTTGATACTAAAGTTCTTATTAATGTTCCACCTTTTATCTTAAGAAATTGAATGTTTTATTAAAATATGAAAATGTAGGTTCCTTATTTAGGGGAATGTTTGGTATGAAAATATGAACATTAGAACAAAAAGACTGTTAATGTTTTAACCTAGGTCCTGGTGTTTAAGAGATTTTGAATTCTAGTTTCTAGTTTTTATTGTACATAGAGTTGTTTTCCAATGATTACCAATTGATCAAATCTGTTATATTTTATATACAATAAGGGTGTAGAATATATTAAAATGGTGAGAAAAGAGTGGGAATTAAACTATATAATTAGCAAAATATAGACTAGTAATCTTATCAAGCTAAAATATTTTAATTTGATGTTATTTTTCTTGGTCTTCATGGACAAACTGCATTAGTGTTAGAAAGGTGGCTTTATAATCAATTTGTGTCCACCTAATGTTTTCATTTTTATGATTTTTCTGTGAACTTGAAACTAGAAAAATCTTTCTTGAGAAGGTAACATTTGTTGGCTTATATTACTACGTTTTGAAAATGAACTCTAAAAACTAATTTCTTTTAACAAAATTAATCAAAACAAAAGTTATTTTTCTATAAATTAGTGAGCTAATTAATTATTGAATTTGGATGTGGGTTGTGAGGAAATGCATCTTTGCATTTGGTAGTACTTACTATATAAAGCAATTATGAGGGAAATGTATCATACTTTAAGGTACTTAAAAAATATAGATACATCAGCTATTTAGAGAGTATATATATATGCTAACCTCAGATATCTAGAACATAGCCAAATACGTGCAGAAAGAGCAAAAGATGTCTGAGTCCTCAAGATCAGTGTCACGGAGTTCATGGGCAAGAGTCATATCCTCTATTCAATAGCCTCAGAATCTGTTGGCTATTAATATGTACCTGGTACTAAAATTTTTAGTTTTTTTCTTTCTGTTTCCTAGCTTTCAAGAGTTCCCTTATAGTGGCTGGAGCAACTGTTAATGACAAGGCACAGTCATAGCAGCAGGAATTAATAGCTGAGAGCCTGAGAATGAGGAACAAGACGGGAAAACTATAAAATGTGTGCACAAGTACTCAAAGATAACTTGCATTCAGTTGCATTTAAATAGGGATTGATGCTTGGAAAAACTCTGATAAAAGTTTGTTTTTTCCAAGTTTTTCTTTTCATTCACATTTGAGTCCTTCTCTGCCTTCCTCTCAAAGGCTATCATTCTCCCTTTCTCTCTCCTTTTTCTTTTTTCCAGCTTTGTTAATTAAAACTTGTTCCCAGCTATTTGTAAATTAGAAAGGTTTTGATAAAATAAATCACATTGTGGTTTAAATATATTCTTAATGTGCCAGTTGGCTTATACAAGTTTTTCTTTTCATTCACATTTGAGTCCTTCTCTGCCTTCCTCTCAAAGGCTATCATTCTCCCTTTCTCTCTCCTTTTTCTTTTTTCCAGCTTTGTTAATTAAAACTTGTTCCCAGCTATTTGTAAATTAGAAAGGTTTTGATAAAATAAATCACATTGTGGTTTAAATATATTCTTAATGTGCCAGTTGGCTTATCTTATAGTTTTGGTTTTGTCTTCCTGCATTTTGCAGTATTGCTCAATAGCTTAAACCATTTAGAGATGTGGTGAAATAAATTGTCAGTGTTTCCTAGCCAGAAATCTAAGTTTCTTATTTTTAAAAAATGCTTAACTGAGAGTTGCTTGCAGTTATTTTCTGAGTATATCCAAAGAGGATCCAGATAAAGGTTTGATTCCAAGTCAGAACCTAAGTTCACTTTCCTGGCCAGCTGCATGGATAATAGGCTTGCCCCAAACACCTAATTGCTGAAAGAAAAGGAAAAGATGACTTTGAAGATTAACTGTTGGACTAGCAGTATATTGCCAGATATTTGGAAAAAGAAGTTCTTCTAAGGTATACTGTTTACAAATGTCCCATATTAAAGTGATTAAAACCAATTAATATGAATAGTTCATGAGGACAAAAAAATCATAGGCTAAAATCCAAACTATTAATCTTTTTTAGACTTTGCTATCTTTAAAAAAAGAATTTTAAGTACTGATATTTATATGATCACATTGTTGTACTTCAATATGAAAATTGAATATGAAGCTATGCTATTTACCAGTAAAAATAGCACAAGTGGAAAAAGATTTTAGAACATTCACATTTATTTAGACTGTTAGAAGTTTGGTTGACAATAAATATATGCAGAAAGATCACCAGCAAGTGAGATCTGATCATTAACTTTATTTCTGGATGGATAAGTAGCCAAAACCCACCAAACCTGGGTTTTTTGCTAATAGATGGCCTGCACGACACTGCTTGGACCCTTTGCCAAAATTAATATCCCTATCTTTTCCTACCCCCTGAATCTATAACTTGAATTCTACTTATGAAGAGCTGAGTCTGTGGGACAATTTCCAAGTCAATATAACTTACCAGCCATTTTATCACAATCTTGCCACACATAACCCACTTCTTAGACTGGAAAGGATGGAATGGTTACCTGTCCAGGTGCCTACAATGAAATGAAATGTACAGATTAAGGCAAAAAGGAAATAATATCTTCTACATTTGATCACAGATGAAAAAGGAGAATGGGTTTTGTGTAATTCCCACTTCTGACGCACAATCATTGGAATATTGTTCAGTGGGTGTCAGGCTCTGACCACTGGGAGGAGCAAATAAGGAGAGGGATGGAAGCTCCCTCAGTATTTCCAAGGGAGCAGAAGCTGCTTCTGTGGGCCAACCTAAATATTTGTTAAGAATAGTGCAAGCTACAATTTTCCCCCTCTACTTGAGTGTTTATGTTCTATAAAAATGTAGTCTATTATATAAATGTCCTTAGTCATAGAACAGATGTGAGCAGTACTATATTCAAAGTTTATTTCAAGTTATTTACTATGACTTTGTGAATGTGTTTTTTAAAAATAGTTCTTTCTATAAACATTTATATTGAAATTATAAAGCTTCTAATGTATGGAAGCAACTGGTATGCAGTGTTATTTTCTTTGAAAGTTGGTATTTTTGCCTAAGGAAAAATAGCATTTTGAAACTACCTCTTTTCACTCTCTGTAACTGAGTCTCCTTCATTTCCCAAATTATTTTCTTAATATGGTATTTTGGGGGTGAGGGTAGACGTCTCAATTATATATTATAAAAAAGTATTGAAAAAGTATGAAATATTTGCCCCTTATACATTTTCAGATTGTCTCAGGAAACATTATGAAATTATCTCTCCCAAATCTAGTAGGAAATTTTGAAGTATAAAACAATGGGAACATGTAGATAAGACTGGAAACGTTTCTCAGTGTTGTGTGGCATTCAGATTTTACTAGGAATTCTATTGGGATTTACTGCAAATCAAAATAAGGATAAATCCTCTCAGGCAAATACCAGTTTTGACATCTAGCTTTAGCTAGATTCATCCTTTTGACAGGAATAATGTATTTTTCTCTCAGCAATTATAATTCAGAAATAGATATATTCTTATTTTGGTTCCTGATTATCAATGCTCTCTGATTTTTTTTTTATTTTTTTTTAGTGCTCTCTGATTTTAACTAACTCTTTGCCACCTCTTTTCCATTTCAGCCCATATTTCAGCAAATTCTATTAGAATGTTTAATTCATTTTGGATAATTTTTAAAAGTTATCTACATATAAGATGGCTTAGGATGGACTTTCAGGGTTGGAAGATATCTTAGTGCTCATCATTTTATATATGAGATAAATGAGTCCTAATAGAGTTAACTAACTTGCTAGTTAATGTGATGGGCTGAAACTCAGATCTCTTAAACTTTGGTCATTGCTTCTTATTTTTTGCTCATGAGTTAAAACAATCTCTGCTGATGGGGAAGAAATTTGGAAATCTCAAATTTTTTTCTGTTTGGGAAAATGATTCATTGAGTACAATAAGCAAGGCCTAAAACTTATTTTAACTGTGTTTAGAATATACTATTCAATTTAGCTGCTCCATAAATAGAATTATTTTAGGGTACTTTGCTTCTAACATCTATCTATATAAAAGCATAAGTGACCGTTACGACTGGTCACTATGATGCGCACTGACCACCGGGGGCAGGCGCTCAACACAGGAGCTGCCCCCTGGTGGTCAGTGTGCTCCCATAGCCAACCTCCCGCAGTCCCTCCCCCCGGACTGGGTAAAACAGCCCCGATTGCAGCCAGGCCTAGAGATCCCCCCCCCACCCATGCACGAATTCATGCACCGGGCCTCTAGTCTTTCTATAAAAGGAGAAAAATGAGGGTTTAAGAAAGAATATAGAAACAATAAGATCTTAACTTTCAAAGGGCTGGATAAAGTCACGGAAGAAAATAGTTTCTATATCCACTAATTGCAGATTAAAAATGAGAGATTGGGAAAAGATCTGGTTTGTCTTTATATTTAATTTGTAATTATGAAGAACCATTTGTGATTACTACTACATTGTACTCTTACTACAATTCTTTTTAGGTGACAGATTTCTATAACTGATAAAAATAAAGATCAGAATTATAAGATTTTAAAAACAATTAATGGAGAGTTGGAGGAAGGGAAAGACAAAAAGGAGTCATGTCTGATATGAACAGAGGGAAATGAAGTGTTGGCAAACAATATTTCATTAGAAGATTGAAATAGAAATAGTGATCAAAATTGAAATAGGAAATAGTCATGTTGAGCAAGGTAATATGACTAATACTTCTTGAAGACTTCCAGTAATATACAGTATCATAACCTAAAATTCTAAGTATTCACTGAGGCTTCTTCATAGCTCACTAAGTGGAATTATGTAGTTGCCAATAAATGTACTTAGTAAGCAGAGATGTTTAAGTGACAAAATGCATAACAGTTGAAATTGAAACTTAGAGGAATCAAGCAACATTGCAATGTGTATCTTTTGGACAGTTTTCTGCTTTGGGAGAAGAAATTCTAGAAAAAAAATTAACCTATTCTCCAATTCAAGAAATTTTTTAAAAAATTGGGCCTTATTAGAGAAATAATTTCAGAATTTGAGACTTCCTACTCTTTATCATTGTACAGAATAACTTTTCAACCTTCCTGCATTTACACAGTGAATGTACTATAAAATTTGAACCTAAATAAAAGAAGAAGCACTGAGTCTCCAGCTTTACCAAATGGGTATAAATCAACAGTTTTTACCAACAGTTTTTCCTACATTACCTGGCTTTTTATCTGTTCATTTCTGGTTTGTCACTAACAGCCAAGTACATTAAATAACACGAAAGCTTTATATGCACATGTACATGTGTATACTTGCACACACTAAAAATGGCACCTTAGTAAATTAAGTAACACTAGAAACAAAATTGAATAATTATGGTCAGTTTAAAAAAATGTGATGGTCTTTATATTGTTGGGTTATTTGAGAGTGCCTGGTTAGTAATATTCCTTTAACCAAGTTCTAAACCATTTGGGAAATAAGATAAAACAATAAAGCTGATAAGAGGCCAAATATTGTTAAAACGGTATTGGAGAATTTGGCTTATATCAATGGGCAAACTTTCCTAATTGTAGAAATAGGTTTACCCACGTAGGTATGGTCAGTATGGGGGCTACCTCAGGTGTCTGTGGGGGTAGCCTGTTTCAGTGAAACTTACTGCATCAAGGGAAAGAACAGAATATGTATATGTTCTCTGTGGGCAAGCAAGCTGCCAGAAAAAGGGAAAGGTGCTGAGCTACTTAGATCTGGTGTCTCCTTTCAAAGCCAGTCAGTCAGATTGGGTCATTGCACCTCCCCAGGAGAAATGAGGGAGCAGAGAGGCTAAGGGATAATGCCAGTGGAGCTTCTCTGTATGCGAAGAAACATCAACTACAGAGAAGAGTCCTCTTCCCATTGGCATTTATATTAAAAGCTTTGGTTTGTAACGCTAGCTGTAATGACGACACTTAAAACACACAAAAACCCCCAATGTAATTGACCACCATAACATTTCTTATTCTAGTAACAAAATAGTGTCATGATTTAAGGAACATATTATAGCTGTCACAGCATTGGGATGTCTGCTGAAGAATGTGGAGCTTAAAAAGGGTCTTTAGAAACAGTAAGGACCCAAATCCCTTAATAAAGAAATAGAATGATTAGTATACAAGGTCACAGGATTGATTATGATAGTCCTGGAACTGCATCATATGCTGATCTAAATTGCAGTTTTCTTCTTTTGTGTAGAAAGGTTCTCATACCAGAATATTCTAGGATGGGTTTAAAAATGACTGTTAGTATGAACAGTGTTAAAACTGAAGATGAGGGGCAACAGAAGCTTTGTTATACATATTATACATATTTAATGTTCATTTACATTCAATAATTATTAAGTATTACTGTGTGCTAAGCTTTATGCTAGACACTGGGGATGGAGTGTCAAGTAAAATATGATCTTCAATGGATATATCATTAATTACTCTGGTCAATATGGAAAAAAAAGTTTGTTGGATATATTGCATGTGAATGTAGAGGGGATAACAGTTTTTACTTGTATTTTTCTGGGACTGCCACCAAATAATAGCTGTGTCCCCTTCCTAAACTTATGCTAGCATTCTAAAAAAAAAATAAGAAAGGAAGGAAGGAAGGAAGGGAGGGAGAGAGGGAGAGAGAGAGAGAGAGAGAGAGAGAGAGAGAGAGAGAGAGAGAGAGAGAGAGAGAGAGAGAGAGAGAGAGAGAGAGAGAGAGAGAGAGAAGAAAAAAGATCTTAATGTAGAATAGGTTTAAGTTTAAGTTGGCAGCTTCTATGAAGTCATCTGAGGGAAAGACCCCATTGCTCCAAGTATTTTTCCTCTGAATTTTTGCCATTAGAACTTAACTCTTTGGGGGGTAAAGGAATGTAGAACTGCAGCCTAGTTTTATATGTTAGCAGGCAAGCTCTCAGAATACAGTCTTTGCCCAGTGAAGTCATATAGAGAAAACTTGGAACAATGATTATGAAGTGGTGAAAGAGATCTCTGAAGAAAAATTGGAGAGCGGGTTTGAAATATGTAAGAAAACCATCAGAATGCATAGAAATGGGTGCCCAGGAAGGAGAGTGGTGGTTCTAGTGGAAGAGTGACTGACTGAATGAAAGTGGAGGTGTGTTATGTTAATCTTAAGGTAAGAAAAAACATTTGTAGTCATCTGGTTTTAGTTGAAAGTGTTTGTTTTCCCTCCTTTTAAGGTGGTGTATATGGGGTCTAGATTTTCTACTGTAATTCTAACATCACATTATGCAAGCTGATGCAAACTGTACAAATTTCCTATAATTTATGTTTTGGTGAATATGAACTAATCTGTTCCAGGGTTTATATCCTAACTTTTCTTGCATGTCACTGCCATTGAAACTTGCATGAAAAGCACTAACTGCCTTCTTTCTCTCCTCCCTGATCTGCTCCAAGGCTGCCAGACAGATCAAGGATAGGTATGGAATAAAACCTACATTTTTATTTGTGTTGATATTGAAATCAGAAATGAAATTCAAGAACAGTTTTTTACTAGACTCTTAGTTAAAACAAAAATACCTAAAGGTCAAATACAAAAAAAAATGTCTTCTGCATATTTTCAGAAATAAGCAATACGTTAGCAAGATTTTTTAAAAACATAGTTGTGGACAATTATGTACTTCCAAAAGAATTTCATTTCTGGTATAATATAGTTAGTTTTAGTACTAGTTTTACTACAGTTCTTAATTGACTATGCTAATGGTGGGGAACCAATTTAAATAATTAAAAAAATATTCCTGGAATGCATTTTTTGTTGTTCTTAAATTTTATATGTGTGTCTTATTTTCTGAGAAGTCACAGCATTTTAGATCGTCTTCAGGAGCTAAAGCTCTCTCACTGCTCTCCTGGTTAACACCTTTGTATTCTCGTTTCATCCTGTTCCTGGTGCCATCTCTTTCTCTTTCTAATGCCACTACTACCAGTTTATGGGAAGAGAATATTAAAGAAAATAATGAAAGACTCTAGTTTATAAGGTCTCTCTCATTGGCAGAGTCAGGATTAAGTAAGCAAACTGAGTACTTGCTATAATGAATACACTAAAAGGCTACAGAAGCTGCTGGCATTTTGGATTGGGATCTGCCTGGCTAGTCACTGACCATTGACTCCAGTGAGGTGATCACTTAGGTTTCTTCATTGGAGGATTATGAGATTCTCTGAAAGGCACGGCTCTTCAAATCCCCACTCTGAATCCTAGGTGAAATTATTCTTCATCAGATAATTTAAAAACTATTCATTGTAGGTTGTGTGAAAACCAGTGTCTCTGTTGTTAATCTTGGCTGAACACTTTAATTCTGGGTTTCTCTCATGGCTGTTTATTTGACTAAGGCAAGATTCACATGACAGTCGTAGCATTTTTAGCACAAATATTTTTATATTTTTTGTAAATTTTATATCAGGGATTGGTTAAAAACATGGATCATTGTTATAAATCCTAAATGTAGAAAGGAGATTATGAGAGTTTGAAGGTGAAAATATTCGTGTTTGAGGATTGGATGCTAGGTAGTGTTTTGGATAAGGTAGTTTTGGGTTGTGTTTGTTGGAATTCACTGTGAGCGATCCTTCTTCCCACCCTGGCTAGATTATTCTTCTATTTAGCCACGTATTCCACTAAATCGTGCTCTGGTCCCTGATTATCTGGGTTAGAAGTCACTGCCTAATCAGGCTTTGGGCTGTCCAAAGACTTTGTGAGAGTCCTTGCAATATCCTCCCTTGTTCTTCTCCTAGGAATCTCTATGGTTTTGTGCTTCCCGGAATTCTGTCCTTACCCCTGACCATCCAGATTTGTTTGTCAGAATTTAATGTTATGATCAGTGTTCACGTCTGAATATATTCTTCAGTGAAACTTGATCTCTTTCCCTCTTCTTCTAAGCCAACTTGTTGGCTTGATTTCATCAGTATCCAGGGGATCTCAGAAGTCAGAATTTCTTTTTTTGGCCAGAGCAAACTCCATTTATTTGTTTGTTTTGTTTTGCTTTTCAGAGCCTATAATGTTTTTTTTGGCTGCCCACAAAATGTTTACTTCTTACCTAAGGAACATTTCTGGGTTTGGGTTTAATTTTTTAACCTTGATTTTTAGTTTCATAATGTCCAGTTTCTCTGATACAGTTTTTAGGTGCTTCTAAGAAGCAAGCTTCTAGAATTCCATTATTGCTATTCATAATATGAAAACAGAGAGTCATAATAAAATAATTATTTTTACTAAATGAAGAAAGGATTATCCCCTTATATGAGGTTGAAAGTGGTATTTTAAGGAAGAGTGTGTAACATAATCTGAGCAAGGAATCAAATATATGAAAATGAAAGTATCTGTGAGAACTCAGTATTTATCATTTGGTGTGACAGAAGTTGTAGAATAATGGAGTGACAGGAAACACTAAAGACAGAAATGAGAAGATGATAAATAGCAGATCTCTTTACAGAGCACTGGTATACACGTCTGGGTGCTTAGTAATGTTGGAAGATGATTCGTTGAGGCATATTGCGGGAGTTACTGGTTCTTGAAGGAAAGAGGTCATGAAAGGAAGAGTTGTTAATTAGGTAGGTAGTTTGAGGAAATTAAAAGTGTCCATCTGTATGTTTTGCAGTTATTTTATTTTTGCAAAAATAAAATGGAGAAGTGTGAGCCTTGTATTCAGCTTTACTATTAGAAATAAATCAAGAAAGTCAGGGTGAATAAAAAACATTTGTAATGACATAGATCCTGTAATATAATTATCTATGGATTTCACATTATTAGTTGGGGCTTTGAGGCACAATTGTTTAAATGTGTTCAGTTTAGAAATAAAATGTTCAGTCTTTTGAAAGATTATAGCATTGTTGTACATCTAACTTGATTTATGGAGACTGAAATTTTCATTGACTAGAAAATGAAGGTCATTATTCTTGTTTTTTTAGGCTTTGATAGACCTTTCTATTGGTTTTGGGGAGAACATTCTTTTTCTTTGAGGCCTTAGTGATTAAATCAAGTTTTGCAGATAAAGTTTCAGAATTAAATTTCCTAAAATACTTTCAGATATTTTTTTCTCAAAAGTTCAAAAAATGCATTTTAATAATCAGGTTTAGAAGCAACTAAGTAGGTTCAAACCCATTCATTGATTCTGTGGGCATTTACTAAGTACCTATCTGAATATAGCTCTCTCAGAGTCTTCAAATCAAAAGATACTTCGGGCTGTAAAGAACAAAGTATGTAAGACTTAGCCTTTGTTCTTAACTCCTTAATTGATGTCATCTGAAATTTTATTATTGAGAACCAGCAGCTTAAAGTAGTATGTGAGAAAGTCAGTGTTATGACTGGAGTTCAGTAAGTGTGAATTCCCTTCTCCATAAATTATATTTAAGTATAACACTTTTTTCTTGATAAATAGATCAGTTAACTTTGTTTCTAAATAAAGTGATTACTTTCCTAGTTTTAAAAGTAACTGGATACAGCAACAGTTAGACATTTTTCATCCTAAAATGACTGACTTCAGCGACAAGTTTGGTATCTTTTAAATCATTGATTTGTAGAGTAGATTTGGCAGATCTGAATGACTAGGCATGCTGTTCTCTTTGTTCCTCCAGCTCTATTTACTCCCTCTCCCAAATTGTGTACTAGGAGGACAACACTCATGAATATTACTTTTGTATTATTCTTTGACAAAAGATACTATGTGATACTTGTGGAAATTTATTATAATATGAAAAACAAATTTGAAACAAAATGACAAATTAATAGAATATGATAATTTTTTAAAATACAGTTTTTAATATATATTTTTAAAAAAATATTTTTATTGATTTCAGAGAGGAAGGGAGAGGGGGAGAAAGATAGAAACATCCATGATGAGAGAGAATCATTGATCGGCTGCCTCCTGCACACCCCACACTGGGGATCAAGCCCACAACCTGGGCATGGGACTGGGAATAGAACTATAAACTCCTGGTTCATAGGTCGATGCTCAACCACTGAGCTACGCCAGCTGGGCCAGAACATGATAATTTCTTTTCTTCCCAGTTTTAATCGACAGAACAGGTTTCCCATACTGTGGATTAAATGAGGTCTGGTATGGCTTCTTTCTTTTTTTGTTTTTGGTGTGTTTTTTTTATACCACATTCATCTAATATTTCTTAAACTCCTGCTATTTCTATGTGTGGTTTCATAGTGGTGTTTCTCCTGTATCCTTCCATGTAGCTGATGTTGACAATCAGAGTGACACCTACTAGTGATTTCACTTCTCTCCTTTCTCATCTATGGCCTGTCCTTAGCCACTACCAAGCTATCCAGTATTTGGTCAATGTACCTCTACTCTTATTTGAGGACACATGGAGTAGCTGTTACTACTAGGGAGAATGTTTGAATTAGGATATATGTACAGATCATCATTTGGCATATGAAAAGGAGTGAGGCTGGCATCAGGAAGTCAGTAAGCTTGAGTGTACAGAGATTTAGATGGCTGTTGGGTCTGTTAAAGATGATTTATACTGAATATTTGTCTCTTGTGATACTTGTATTTGAATGCAGTTTTATAAAACTGGCTGGAGGAAAGTGTCTTTAAATTTAAAAACACTTTACAGTTTTTTTATTTAGTTAATTTTCAAAGACTAAGCAAATTTCTATTTAGTTGGGTTATCTTTGTTAAAATTTCTGAAATCACTAGAGTGAAATCATTTCTATCTTTTCATTTTATAAATTAAATATATGATACTTCCCATTCTTTTATTTTTAAAAGTATGTTTGTATTTGCTGCAGAGTAACAATGGCTTCAGCCTTTCGCCTTTCTTTGAAACCAAAGGTCAGTGACAACATGACTCATTTAATGGTGGATTTTTCTCAGGAAAGACAGATGTTGCAGACTTTGAAGTTTTTGCCAGGTCAGTAAGCATACATATTACATGTAAATTCTATATAATAAAAGCCTAATATGCAAATCAACCGAACGGAGGAACAACCAGTCGCTATGGTGTGCACTGACCACCAGAAGGCAGATGCTCAATGGAGGAACTGCCCCCTAATGGTCAGTGCGCTCCCATAGGAGGAGCGCCGCTCAGCCATAGGCTGGGCTTATAGCTGGCGAGTGCAACAGTGGTGGCGGGAGCCTTTCCCACCTCCGCTGCAGGCAGGCGGTAAGGAGTGAGGCGTCCTGGACTGCAAGAGCCCCAGACTGCGAAAGGGATGTCTGACTGCCGGTTTAGGCCCGATCCCTGAGGGGATCGGGTCTAAGCTGGCAGGCAGAAATCCCCCAAAGGGTCCTGGTCTGTGAGAGGGTGCAGGCTGGGCTGAGGAACCCCCCCCCCCAACCCACCCGTGCACAAATCTCATGCACCGGGCCTCTAGTTTATATATAAAAATATATTTTCTGCAAGATGTTTCTGTATAAATATTGGAATGTAAATATTAAAGAAATATAGCATAAGTTTTTTCATTCTAGGAATAATTAAATTTGCTAGACTTCATTTTTAGAGAATTATTTTACTGGTAGTTAAAATTCCATTTTTAAGAATCCCATTAAGGGAGATATTTTATTGTTAGTTTGACATAGCAGTACACCACAATGTAATGCACTGGATCCTGCACACAGACTTCTTAGATTTTAATCCTGGCTGCTACTTACTTGCTATAATCTCTTGCTAATTCCAGGAAATTTTTCATTGATTCTTTGGGTTTTCTCCATAGATAATCATGTCATCAGCAAACAAAGACAGTTATATTTCTTCCTCCGTAATCTATTTACTTCCTTTTACTTCCTTTTCTTGTCTTACTGCATTTACTAAAACTTTCAGTACACTGTTGGATAGCATTGTCACTAAAACTTTTTTCAGTGACAAAATGTTTAAATATAATACCTGCACAGTTTCACACATTTCAGACACATTCGTATCAGTGGAGGATCACATTCTCCAATTCGCCTGTTGATATGTAAATGAAACATCTGTTAATGTTGAGGATCTATGGAAAAATCTCTTTTATGGAAAAGAAGTTGATTAATGTTCATACAAGTTAATTGTGGCTCATTTATCCCTATTTATTTTGATGATTCAGAAAACTCTGAAAAACACTTTAAAGTTCTTAAGTATTTGGGGATTGAGGAGTTCATTTTTGTTTAGTGTGAGGAATTACAATTATTTTATAAACAAAGATTTTTAAAATACATTGAAAATATTTTGAATTATTTTAATTATTGGAGTTAAAGCAAGTTATTTTCTCAATAGTGATTTAATTTATAGCCTACAGCTGTTTGAAATAGATTAAAAGTACATGTTGAGAAGTAACAAGTAATTCTTGATTCTTTATTCTTAGCATGTTTGAATTGCTTTTTGCCAACTAGGATTTAATAAACTTTGAATAAGTCTATGAAAAAACTTTTAAACATGAATTTTTAAACAAAGCTTTGAAAAATATATTGTATTTATAGGATATCTCTTCTCTTAGCCTGATTCAATTGAATAGTTCAAAAGCAACATGAAAACCATAGTTTGAATGACAGACATAAATATTGGTTTAGTACTAGAATAAATTAGCCTTTTTCTTTTTTCTTCAGTCCCCAAAGCTCCAGAGATAGATCCAGTAGAGTGTTTGGTGGCTGACAATGCTGTAACAGTAGCTTGGAGAATGCCAGAAGAAGATAATAAGATTGATCATTTTATACTGGAATATAGGAAAACTAATTTTGATGGACTTCCACGTGTAAAGGATGAGCGATGCTGGGACATAATTGATAATATTAAGGGTACCGAATATACACTGTCAGGTAAAATGACTGCATTTCATGAATCTTTCTCAGAAAATAAATGTAATTAAGAAAAATATTTTTAGTTACTTTAAAAGATAACGTTAAGTTTCTTTAGCCAATTTTTTATGTATTCATTATAGAAGTGAATTTCTCTTCTATAATTTAAATTCCTTCTGGATATTTGCAACCTGGTAAAACAATGTATGTAGAACAAGCATGAAGGATGTTTTGGAAACAATATTTCAGAATATTTAATTTTTACCTTGGTTTTCTATCAACCAAAAAACTGTCAACTTTCTAGATGTACACACAGAACCACAAATATTGTTGCCTTTAATCCTTTTAGGATTACCTTCACAGTAATACTTAGAGTAGAACTGTGACTTGGTATTAGAAATTTGTTCGTTAGCCTTTTGAAAGTCTTTAAAAAGGTATCTCCATATATAGGGGACCTTGGGTATTTGAAATGACCTAATGTTGCCTGAGTTAGTAAATGCTTCTTATGGATGATCAATAACATTAGTAACTTTACCATTATTGAACACTGAACATTTGTCAGAAGCTAGGCTGAAATGTATTACATAGTACATCTCAAATAACCAGTATAATAACATCTCATTTACTATGTAGAATTATGAGGTTGGTTTTATTATTTCTGTTCTGCAGATTCAAAACTGTAGCTCTGTCATGTTGTTGAAAGTCCCACAGCTAGTAATTTTTAGACTCTTTTAATCTAGACATGACTAACTTCAGAGTTTTGCTATTAATCCATATGCTTCACTTTTCTTTAAATTTATTTTTCACAAAAAATGACAGTGTTGCCCTAACCGGTTTGGCTCAGTGGATAGAGCATCGGCCTGCGGACCGAAGGGTCCCAGGTTCAATTCCGGTCAAGGGCATGTACCTTGGTTGTGGGCACATCCCCAGTAGGGGGTATGCAGGAGGCAGCTGATCGATGTTTCTCTCGCATCGATGTTTCTAACTCTCTATCCCTCTCCCTTCCTCTCTGTAAAAAATCAATAAAATATATTTTTTTAAAATGACAGTGTTTCATAAATATAAAATTCCTTAGGGAGTTTACTTTCTAGAAATTGAATATGTTATTTTAAATTCCAGCTTCTGTCCTTTAATGCAACATTACTTTTAATGAGGCTTGACAGAACCTCTTATCACTATGTTTTAAAAAATTCATTGGTAAACTGTATAACTTATTTCTTTTGAAGAAAACAATAGATAAATCATTATTCCTCTGATTTCATGCATTACTACTGTTTTAACATAAATTTATAATCTTCCTGAGTAAAGAGAAAGTTCCACAAAGGGAAAAATGTCTGTCTGAAGGTTCATACTCCTACTTTTAGAGTAGATTCCTTTACTTTTCATGTCTGAAAACCATTTTCATTTTTTCAGGTTTAAGGTTTGATTCAAAGTATATGAATTTCAGAGTACGAGCTTGTAACAAAGCTGTGGCTGGAGAGTGTTCTGACCCAGTGACTCTGGAGACCAAAGGTAAGGTCAGTAGCTATGTATGCAGCATCTGGATTTATCTGAGGCATGGTTCTATCCCTCCTCCCCCCACCTGGAATTCCCAACAATAGGAATTTTAAGATGGAGAAATTAGGACTATAGTAGTGGTTTCATTAGTTTTTACTTTATCATGGTATTCAGATAGGTAAAATAGACTGAGATGATAGTGTTATATTCTCAGGTGGGTGCTTAGTTTACAAATTTCAGTTTAGTATAAATACATAAACATCATTGAGATGTGTCCAGTGTTTTCCCAGGGAATGGATTATGGCTCAGTAATGGGGAAATGCCTTTTCAGTTAGTTCAGGTTCTCTCTGTTTTCTTAAGTCTTATTGTAGAAATTAACATTTATATAGTTTATTAATGTTTACAAATGACTCTCACAGTTCTTCATTTGATCATTAAGACCATTCTGAGAGATCAGTAGAATAGGTATTACTGATAGCCATTTTGTAGAAGAAAGTGAAGTTTAAATATGTTAAATGACTTGTGTATGATACCTGGAACTAGCTTGGAAAGAATGTGAATAAGAATCTGTTTCAAGTTCTGTGCCAGCCCCTTTGAGGGCATGAATTTAGGTGCCTAAAGTCTATGAGAGCAATTTGGATTTAATTAAAACTCCCTAGAGTTTATTTTAACTCTCATATTTTAATACAGAAGATTTTTCAGATATTTACCAATTTGAAGTTCATAATGCTGGAGATCGTCCCAGTTGTGAGATGATAATTGAGTGGGTTTACTTCCAGAATCAGATTCCACACATCTCGGTCGTGTTTATGTATTTATACTAAACAGATTTGTAAACTAAGGGTTTGTAGAGAGAGACTAGTTGATTCTAGTGTTTTCGAACATTTCTCACTATGGGATAAACCCCCTGGGGTGTGGATAGACTGAAACTCAACCTTGAGGCCTTATTGAACGGTGATTTTGAACTTCAGGGAGATCCAGAATAAACTCTGTCTTTTAAATAGCGATGGGTCTCAGATTTTCTAAAACTATTCTATAGCACTGGAATGGCTATTAATGAAAGCAGGAGCTCCAGACGAAAAGTCCAGATTTTTAAAATATGACATGTTGAACAATTGTTTATTGATTTTCTTGGCCTGCTGCATGCAGTCCTTGTTGACCAACCAATAGAAATAAGTGTATAAACAAAAACTGGAGAGAAAAGGAGAGGGATGGAGATTAAATAGTTGAGGACTACCAAAATTCATATCCTGCTACCTATGGTGCTTGATGTGAAAAATAGTGAACATTATCTGTCTCTCCAGTGTATGTGGCACTATTTTTTCTATCATTAGAATTGTCAAAAGTGATGCATAACATAAGTTTTTATGACCAGAATTTAAAAAAAAATAGTATCCCTTCATGTAAAGGTAAATGATCTGATATTAATCACAATTTACTCTGTGGACTCAAATGATAATGGCTATAATGGTTTACAATACCAAGAAAGCAGCCACCAATACACATTGAACCCTTGAAATGTTCCTGTACTCTGAGTTTCTTAGTACTTTGTTATCACAGACTTTTAAAGATATGGAAACTAATATCTAGCTATATTACAGGGCTTATATAAGAGACAGGACTAACATTTGAGATCTCACTGTTGGAGCCAGTCTTTTTTAAAAACAAACAACTATACAGTATTATCCCTTTTACCTTAGCCTCTATGACTCAGTTGAGGTCCCATAAAAGGAATAGCATGTGTGTGTGTGTGTGTGTGTGTGTGAGAGAGAGAGAGAGAGAGAGAGAGAGAGAGAGAGAG